GGAGACATCGACTTCGTAGGGTGATCTTTGCTGAGAGAATCTCTCCAAACCCATCCTCGCCCGCAGGTACGATGTGTGCAGTAACGAACTCGCATAGAGCTTTAAGCTCTACTCGGGGTCCAAAAGTGAGAGGACCTATAATGGATGCCCAAGACCATGACGGAGCTCGCCACTTCGGTGGCCTGGTTACTTCTTCTGGGAACTCCACTAACCATAGCAAGTCGGAGATTATGCTACTTTCCCACAGGCCGGCGATGTATGGCGACTTCTTGTACTGATACATTTGCTTGCTTAGTCCTTGTAGGGCTGGGAAGACGTCTCTTTCGAATGTTAAATCCATACGATTGTATGCCTGGATAACTGGGTACCATAAATCTGGTCCGTCTCTGGAACCAGTTTGGGATGCCTGTGTATATTTTTGTGGGCTGCGTACGTTCTCGTAGGCATCAAAGTAGTCGTCTATGAACGAGCATTCGCACACCGTTTCGGCTCGGCATCCCCAAACGAGCTCTTCGTCCGTGAAGGTAATCATTCTTCGCGAGAGCAAGCATTCTTGTAAAGTCCATCCACGCCGTAACAAGGGAAGTGTGTTCGTAAGCCATGCTTCGCCCCGCAATTGAGGCCGAATATGCACCTCTAGTCTCGAGCCATCTGGATCGCAATACGAATACGCAGTAGAAGAGCGTTCGGAAGTTTGCCGAAAACATCCACTCGTTGGACCATCCGCGGCAGCAGCAGCAAGGGTAAGAGCAGCACCAGAGTAAACTTGTGCCATCTTGCTTCCTTCGATGCGCCAATCCTCGTCACTGTCTTGTTGGATGCACAGTGAATCTATCCACAAATATCGATAGCCCAGCTGGAAGGTGAAGGAGATGGCTTCCTGGAAAGTACGAGGAAGTTCGTGCCAGGGGATGTTTTGCTTAAATCTGTCCACGCTAGAAGTAGTGGTCTGAATCATGCTGCCCTTGCCCCAGCAATGGCTCAGGCAAACATAGGGTTCAACTTCTCCCTTAGACTCATAAAGCTTGACAGATTTGGGGCCTTGGATCGCGATGACGCGAGAAGGCAGCTGTAAATTGGTTCCTCTGCACGCTTCGTGGTTCTCCTCGCAATCTCGCAACCATGCAAGAGCGCGTTCGACGGCGTGTTTAGATCCGGTGTTGGGGCATACTTCAAGCTCGCGAGGCAGATGCGGCACCTGCCATGGTTGAGATTGGGACAGATGTAGAGGACTGCCTCCAGCCAAAATGACGTTCCTAAACATCTCTTTTGGGACGAATATTTCCCATGCTTGGTCTTGAAAATAAGTGGTCCATCGCGTTTGATTCTGCTGCCACCTTGCAAAATCCCAGGAACCCAATGATTTACTTCCAGTCCTTACAGAGCAATGTTTCAATATACTGAATAGTATCATGCATCCAGCACAAGCTTCTTCAGCAGATGGCACTAGCTTGGAAAAGTAGGTGTACGCACCTTCCGTGGGCCAGAGATTATTTAGGCATACTTCGCAGGTCTCCGCTCTGACATATGCGGCTTTAATATTGTCGTAGTCTGAAGAGGTTTTCGAACTATCGTCCATAATCCACCAAGATGGTGGATCCCAGTGCATTATCCGCTCTAGCAAGTCGCCGCCCGGATCAGAGGCGGGCTCTTCCACATCAGAGACACCGTCTGCCACATCAGATCCAGAAGCTTCCATGGTGATGCGGACGCCAAAGTGCAAGCGTACGTGAGAGTCGGGAGGTTACTCCTATAGCAGATTTGCCAGCAGGCGCAATGCTGAGCTGGGCAGCAAAGGAACTTCCCCGAAAAGCTGGTCCGCGCAGAAAGAGCTGAAGGAAGGGTATCGACGACGGGTGTATGAAATATGTGTCCAGAAAGACAACTGCAGCGATTGCTTATCTGGCCGGTTGAAGAGAGGGGTCAGGCAGCAGGCACATGCGCGCCACATGTTGGGGGCTGAGAGGCGTATCGCAAGCCAATCAGTCTGCCCGGAGCGAGAAGCATCCTAGTCTGACAGTCCTGGAGAAAGACAGAGAACTGATGCACCTTATACAAGAAAAAAACTAAACAGGTCTGCAGGCTACATTTAGCTAAAGCCTTGCAAAGTAGGTGACCTAACGTCAACGTAGGCTCTCAGCTATTTGGTTTTTTCCTAGGTTAGCGTGGATGGGTGAAGCTGTATATCCACACTTCACTCACTAGAGCAGAATCGGATGTAGCATAGTTGATTAGGCGTGAGTATCAATCGATGGTACCAATTAGTTCGTCGCAACCCAGTCGATTCGTGAAGCATAGGATGCGACGGTATGTCAACCGGCTAGTATCAAAAGACGACAAAACGAAACGAACGTGCAACGGCCTGCGACTGCTATATCTGGAGATGAAGGAGGTTTGAAGCCACGGCGCACCATCGGAAGGTTTGGTGTTTCAGTGGCCCGTGCGCCTTCTCTCTCCCGCGAGGGGTCGCGGCAGCAACTGCCCTGCAGCACATCTTTGACGCAACTACACTATCCTAGTGTAGAAACATGTCGGCAGTGTCGAAACATAGGGACATCCGAGTCCAGAAATGTACTCGGCCCCGTTTCGCGACCGCTGGCACCGCACCGGCAGTCTCGAGTATGCGGATGGCGGAACCCCGTTGGGCGGGGACCCGAAGCCAAACGTCGCAGAAGGGGACGCAAATAGAAGTGCTGGAATATGGAGCACGACAGATATAAAGACGAAGGGAACGATGAGAGGAGATATAATTGCAATACCATACTATAACAGTAACACTTTCGCCTACCAGAACCACCAGAAACAAAAGTCATCATGTTTGAGAAGAACGAATTGAAGCCGACGTTCGACGGTTGGTCCTCTCTGCGACCTCTTGCGAGCATGACTAACAAGCTTAGACGTTATGGGTTGCCAGTCGGCGTGCTATGAGTGGGCAGACAGCTACGATAGCAAGGTCGGTCGACATGCATCGCTGCTCAGCGATAATCACTTACACATCGCAGGACTGGGACCGTCTTAGCAAATGCATCGCCCCCACATTGAAGATCGACTACCGATCCTTCCTCGACAAGATCTGGGAAGCCATGCCTGCAGACGAGTTCGTCGCCATGGCCTCGGACCCCAACGTACTAGGCAACCCTCTCCTCAAGACACAGCACTTCATCGGCGGCACGCGGTGGGAGAAGACTGCAGAGGACGAGATTACCGGGTACCACCAGCTCCGTGTGCCCCATCAGAGGTACACCGATGAGTCCCGCACCAAGGTTGCCGTCAAGGGCCATGCCCACAGCTTCAACACGCACTGGTACAAGAAGATCGACGGCGAGTGGAAGTTTGCTGGACTGAACCCGGATATCAGATGGTTCGAGTACGACTTCGACAAGGTGTTCGCCGAGGGCCGTGAGCAGCTGGGTGAGGCCAAGGCTGCTGCTGGCATCCCAGAGAAGGTCCCTGGCCAGGCGATGTAGGATAGGATAGGAATCTGCTTACTAAGATACCACTACGAATGATAGAAGACATTATTTGATATTGCTCAGTTGGTGTACGTGTTCCAAGCGCACAACGGTCGTGATATGTGTCTGTCGAGCTGGTTGGATGCAGGCCTCAGCGGCCGGCCGTCTAGCTGCAGGCGGTGGGACCACTGAGAGAGGATGGAGGGGCCCATGGCGGTACAGGTGTGTGATTCGACCGGCGCAAAACTGCGCGGCGTGAGTACAGAGTCCAGCGATGCGGCGCGAGCATGGGTGAGATATGGATTGGAAAGGCTGCAGACTGCAGAGGCTCTCGGTGAGGCACCGCCCCGCACATTGCGAAAGCCCGGTGACGACTTCTGGCTGCAAGTCATCTACGCGGCCAGGGGTGGGTCGCCTATTAATAACGCAGAGCAGATCGCACGCAGCCGGCACCGTTCTTCATCTGGTCGATGCCAGCGTGGCAGCCGTGTTGAGCCTCTGTAGCGAGATGCGATGGGCCACTCGCAATGGAGCCGCTTCATCCTTGGGTCGCGCAATCCTTGTATCGATCGAAAGCTTAAACCTGCACTGGTCTACGCCATCCGCGTCCCCAGGTTCGCGCAGTCATCGCTACCAAAACCAAGCGAAGTAAATCCTAGCGGATTCTCGGCGCCGTACATCATCTGCAGTTCTTCGCTCTTCTACCGACCCCGCCCACCGACCGACCTTCCTCCCACACTGCCCAACACTCGCCGTCGTCGATCGTCTTTCCTCTCCGATTTCTCGCGTTTGTGGTGTTTGGATCTCATCTGCTTCTCCAGTTCGCCGGTGTCCTTGAGATTTTTCGGTATGTATATCTCATGAGCAATTTTCATCTCGTCTTGGCGGGCCGCCCACTGCACAATTTCGTGCACTGGGGCATGGGAGCTGCGGACTGCACAATCAATTCGGCCACTGCCCGTCTGCTACGCGATGTGCGTCCATCGCATACTGACGTCGTCGTCTGCACGGACTTGGTCGCGCTGCCACCAGCCCGAGCCAGCGTCGCGCATCCCGACGCGCTCTCACTGCCGTGGGTGTTGCGAGCACCTGTCGTGACATGGGCCTCGTGCGCCCGCCGCATGTGATGCCTGACATGAAAACTACGGTACTGACCCGCCCACTCAGATTTCGTTCGAGCTTCCTCACGGTCACTCCTTCGCTCTCCCTCACCCACACCCACTCCTTCGTGCGCGACCTGGAGTTACTGTCGCCGCTTTTCCCGACTATCTCCTAGGCGTGTTCCTTGGCCTGTACTCTCTACTGCCTCCGCGACTGCAGTGATAGAAGGAGCCGGATCTAATCGGTAAGTGCAGCCTGCCACCCGTCCAGCTCCTTCACCCTGCTCCCGCTGCCTGACCTCCTGCGCGCACACTCACCGGAACTAACAATTGCTTTTTCTGCGCAGACTATATAAACGACGCTACGGTTCTCTATCATAATTAGAGCTCATACCCTTACTCCCCACCTCCGTTAGCTCAATCGACTACCCCGCTTGATCTATCAGTCATGTCTTTCAACAACAGCTACGGCGACCAATTCCAAGGCCAGCCCCAGGGCGACATGAACAACCAGACCCCGCAGCCCGGCGACATGGGTCAGCCCATGGACGCCTCCGGCAACGGCTTCCCTCCCCAGGGCAACATGGGCCCGCCAGGCAGCGCTGGTGGTGACGGCCAAGGCCAGGGTGCGGGCAAGACGACTCTCTGGTGAGTCTACAGACGCGCCCGAGTTGCGAATTGCGCATCTCAGATGGCGATGTGCGCGCTCGGGTGGCCCTTCACTAGGTGGGGCAAATCGATGCTAACACAACGCAGGATGGGTGAACTCGAGCCCTGGATCGACGAGAACTTCGTGCGCAGCATTTGGTACAACATGGGCGAGACTGTCAACGTCAAGATGATCCGCGACAAGTTCTCCGGGTAAGCACGGAATCCACACAGGAAAAAGTCTCCAGGCTAACTACCGCATAGCAGCAATGCTGGATATTGCTTCGTCGACTTCGCGAGCCCTGATGCTGCGTCCAAGGCCCTTAGCCTCAACGGCCAACTCATCCCCAACTCCAACCGCCCGTTCAAGCTGAACTGGGCCTCTGGCGGTGGTCTTGCTGACAGGAGGCAAGTCTCACCCGGCTATCCACATACGACAGTGATCACTAATGACTCGAACAGCCGCGATGAGCGTGGTCCCGAATTCAGCATCTTCGTCGGAGACTTGGGCCCCGAGGTCACTGAGTTCGTCCTCGTACAACTCTTCCAGAACAAGTACCAGTCCACCAAGTCCGCCAAGATCATGTCCGACCCTATTAGTGGTATGTCGCGCGGCTACGGTTTTGTCCGGTTCGCTAGCGAGGAGGACCAGCAAAAGGCCCTCACTGAGATGCAAGGCGTCTACTGCGGCAACCGCCCCATGCGTATCTCCACTGCCACACCCAAGAACAAGAGCGGTGGTCCCGGAGGTCCCGGCGGAATGGGCGGCATGCCTCAAGGCGGCGGCGGCCCCGGCATGGGCATGTACTCTATGGGCGCTCCCCCCATGGGTGGCTACTACGGTGCACCCCAGCCGATGAACCAGTTTACTGACCCGAACAACACCACTGTCTTCGTCGGCGGTCTGTCCGGCTACGTCACCGAGGACGAGCTCCGCTCCTTCTTCCAGGGCTTCGGCGAGATTACATACGTCAAGATTCCCCCAGGCAAGGGCTGCGGCTTCGTCCAGTTCGTTCAGCGCCACGCTGCCGAGATGGCCATCAACCAAATGCAAGGCTACCCCATCGGTAACTCTCGCGTCCGTCTTAGTTGGGGTAGGTCCCAGAACAACTCCGGTCCAGCCGGCACCCCTTACCGCCCTGCACCACCTCCACCAGTTCCCTTCGGCCCAGGTATGGGTATGCCCCCGCAACACCCCTACGGCGGTGGCGGTGGCTACGGCCCGATGATGAAGGTAAGTCAACAAGACATGTTGCGGTTTTGTGTCTGATGCTAACTCGACTGTAGTAAGCGCATTCTTTCCCTCTGTATTGCTTGCACGGCGCTTCTGTCATGGTTCATCCCGTTGGCTTACTGCAACGATCCCTTTCATGACTCGGCATGACGAATTTCGAGCGATTTGGTCTTTAGTTCTATAACGGGCGGTTCTCCAAAAGTTCTCGACTTCTTCTCACGACACTCATCTTGCTGGAGGGCCATAGAAGGGAGTCTTTGTATAACAGGCCATCTATTCTCCCATTCGGGCTTTCTTTCTAAGCGTGCCACTCATCTTTCTGGGAGCATAGGGATGTAGCTAGTCATGCATGGGCCGGATGCTGCTTTCTCTCGACTTGCCTTTTCTTCACGATTGTGCGCTGCTCCTTGCAGGATTGGCCATCATTTCCAATCACACGATTCTTCTATTTCTGCGTGTTTGGTTGCGTGCTTGCTTGCTGGCTTGGTTGATTCGTCTAACGTTCTGTTCCAAGTGCCTTGTAGTATTTCCTTTGTTAGTTTTTCGTTGGTTCTATTAGCACGCGCAGAGTCTACCACCTCGTTACCCTCCTTAGACATCTTGCTAACGTCATTGTGTAGCAACTTTCCCGTCCAGGCTGGCCAGCCTTCCCCTTACCCGCCGTCGATGAACGCAAGCCTCGGTGGTCAGCGACCCGGCAGCCAGAACGCTCCTACGGGCAACCCTGCCGGCCAGAACGGCACTCCCACGTTCAACAACTACCGTTTCACCCCCACCCAGCCCAACGGCCCCAGCAGCCCCGGCTTCGGCTCGCCCGACTTTGGCGGTGCCTTCTCGCAGCAATTCCCTCCACCGCAGTAACTGCGCATCGTACGCTCTCGCATTGGTTATACGCATATCAGATACTGTTTTGCCGCTTTAGCAAGGAGTTCTTGGGGCATGAAACTTCATTATCACGACGTGGCTATATTCTTTAACTGGGGAATGAAGGCATAATGCTTTAGCGAGGCGTCTGGCGAACAAGAATTATATGGTATACCCATGCAGCAAGAGAAGGCGTCAAGAGTCTGTTTCATTTCTATCGTGGCGGGAGGTTCGCGTCTTTGCTAGAAGATTGCACTTCTTTTGAGGTTTTGCGTTGAGTTGCTGCGTGCGCTGTGGGTATTTCGGGAGATGTCTATCGAAAGAAACGTCGCAGACTGATGGTTAGTGGGTTCTAGTACAAGGTCGCTGCAAAGGTCCATGGAGGGTACATCACAGACTGACGGAGAGTGAGTTTTTAGTAGAAGGACTTTCTGAGAGATGCTACATGAGCATGCGGCAACATGCGTTTTGATCTAGTCATGCCCATTTTATACAATTTACACTTCATCGCATTTGCACGAACCTTTGACGATGTGGGTTGCCTCGCGCCATGACGTTGCGCCGTGACAATCGTGCCTTCCTCATCACTGGACCTCGGGCGTACCCGCCGTCGCTCAGCCCTCAACCCTCATAAACAATGGGCTTCTTCCTCCTCTCCACAAACACACATCCGGCACAACTGCCAATTGCTTGTTGCTCTTTTGGACCCGAACAGCAGCAATCGCACGCCTGCCATGCGCTACGACGATTGGGACGTGATCCTCTTCCCAAAGGATTCTCACGTACCGATACAGGAGTTCAAGACTGCCTGCTATGTCTCATCTGAGGAGTGTGAGTACCCTGCTCTCTCTCTTGCCCGCTTGCAGACTTCTTTCACATGACCGTCAGTGCTGATAGGAAGTAGATGGCCGCCAGTTGCCCACTTTGACCTCTTACATCAGCACTCTCCCGCCATCCACACCGTTCCGTATCTCCGTACACTCATGGGCCACCGCATCGAAAGCCTCGGCACTGATCGAGTCTCGACGAAGGGCGAACCAGAAGGTTGTGTACACAGTTCAGGTGGTCGTTGATGGGGCTAGAGTCTTGTGAGCTTCACACCATGGGCTGTGGACATGGGACCACGATGCTGATTAGCATAGTCGTGGCTTCTTCGACATAACGTCGAAATGGCCCCAAGAGATTGGTATGTCACACCCAAGTGAATGCTGCATCACCTTTGGACTGACGATGTGTAGCGCAAGAGAAGAGATCACTCGCCATCAACGAGTATCCATCAAGTCAACGGAAACAATGCCTCGAGTTCCCGCCCTTTCATCAACGGACCCTCATGCAGAACTCATGGAATGCTCACGATCCACAAGGACGAATAAAGATAATGTTGTCGGAACAGTTGATCACGAAGACGGCCAGTCTTGGAGAGGTAGACCTCGGCGCGACCAACGACATTGTTTGCTTCTCGTTCCAGCATGCCCCAAAAGGTACGCCGAAGGACCTCATCTCCCTTATGTATGCATCACTAATTGGGAACAGATGTCCTAGAACAGGCGGGAATCTCATGGCCCATCCGAAACCCTCTATACCTTCCCAATGCGCTCGAGCGAGCCACGCATCTGTCACAAATCTCCCCGACAAACTCTCGGACACCGAAGGCCCGGCCCTTCCCAGGCGACATCAACATGCAGTCGCCCATCTCGCAACCATCGGCATCCGCCTTTGCTAGATCGCAGATTCCCTTACCCAATCGACGCTCCAATGCGCATCTGCCCCCTATCTCACAATTCGCAAAGCCACTCCCAGGTTTCAGAAACAACGGTCGCCCAGGCATATGGGACGACAATCTCAACTCCCTTATAGATTCTGGTGACGACGTTAGCATGGATACATGGTCAACAAGAAGAACGTCGGGCTCCACTAGCGACATGGCCATGCCTGACTACATGTATGCTTCTTCACATCTGTCACGGAAAAGTCAACCATGGATGCCTGACAGGTCCCAATACGACCAAGGCATGAGTACAGAATGGGAAGAACATCCGCCGAGGAAGGAAAAAGAGAAACAGCTCGTTGTCACCCTTCGAGATGACCAACTAGGGCAGATTATCCAAGCTATGAGTCCACCGAAGCAGAATCGTGAGCTATCGCATGGATCGGGCAATCAACGCCATGAGAATACTGGTCGCCTACCGACTGCTTACAACTACTGTCCCCCAAAGTCAGACATCAATCCACCTATCAACCGCCCGTCCTCGGCGGCCATGGCGCGCAAGCCATCATACTCGGACTTCAATAATGCCCTACGGAACGCATCGAATAAGCAGTCACCAATTAATCAGCGGTTCCACGATGCGATTAATGAAAAACAGCCTACGATGAATCACCCTTCCTTCTCAAGCAACAAAGAGAATCGTCCACCTTCGCAATCGCGATTGCCTACTGCGTTTCCAAACGCGAACCGTGTTCCGACGCCGAACCCCTTCGCGCAAAGGCTTCCAACCCACAACTCAGATGTTTCCATGAGAGACCCATCTCCGGCGCGTTCAAGTATGTACAGGTTCAGTCGGAGCGAAGCGCCACCTCCGACCATTGAGCCTGCTAAGTTTGGGTCAGCTCACGGCCCTTCAGCTGTGAATATCAGGAGCCGGAAGGAAGGCCTGGCATCCGACTCACCAAGGCTGTCTGATCAAGCAATGCGCCATGATCAGAGTCTGCTACCATCATTGAACTCAGGTCCTCGGACTGCACATATACCCATCTTTGAGGATAAAGATGAATCCTCGCGCAATAACCAGAAGAAAATCCCTGATGTAGTGGAGATCATCGATGTGGACGCCATCGACCCCCATCTAAACACCAATGCTTCCTTCGAGAGCAATAAGCTGTCTCCATTCAAGCCCTGCCACAAGACCGGAGTGTCACTGTCAAGCATTGATAGTACTGGCCGTCTAGAGAGACAGCTTTACAGTGCCCTTGGCGAAGAACTAGGCAGCTTTGAACATCATATCGACACCTCAGGCATGGGACCTGAACTTGCACAGGCACTTGGTGGTGTCACAGCCCACTCTGATCTCAGCGGCTCCGGCATGCTGAACCCGAACGCTCACGAGTTTGAGCCAACGATCAAGCGGAAGAGGCAGAGTACGGTGGGTGGCAGTCGGGAGAGAAGTCCGATGACTAAGAAAGAGAAGGCTGACTTGCGAGCTGGCGACGACCAGGAGGAAGTGGTGGTGTGCATGAGAGGAGATTGAGCGTATTCTTAATTTGACGATGCTTTCTGGAGGACTATAGGCTAGTCTTTTAGCGTTTGTTTTCTGAGCGTTCTAAGCGTATTGTTGTACTTGTCAGTCTATTAGGGCTAAGACTGGGTCTTACTTGTTGTATGAATAGTCAGTAGCTCGTATGAATATCGAAGAACAAACTCTGTCTCTGAGAGCCGAGCGGACACCACGTTCACTGTCAGGAGACAGATACTTACAAAGCAGAACAAACTTTCCGAACATCCGAACTGATTCTTCAATTTCTTTCCCTAATAAACAAAATACCCCTGCGTCAACGGCAGCGTCTCCGCAGGCTCAGCCTCACATACCATACCATCTGCCTCGACCGTATACCTCTCGGGATCGACCTTCATCTTTGGCTTCGTATCGTTGTATTTCATATCCCTCTTGCCGATATTCCTGCAGTTCTTCACAGCCTCTACGCGCTTGCGCAAGCCATAAGACTTGACGACGCCAGACGCAATGGAAGCTTGCGAGACAAATGTGATGCTGGATGAAGGCACCATAGGCGCGAACATAGGGCGCATGATGATGGGTTCGACGGTGGGGATCGAGGCGTTGGGATCGCCCTGGGAGGTGTTAGATAGACCGCTAGGGAAAGAGGGGAGACGAAGAAGGGAGGAGAGGGAGAAGGGAGAGGCAACATACCATCTGAGCATACGAGCAAAACCCACTCTTAACCACCAAACTCGGCTTAACCCCAAAGTTCCTCGGCGTCCAAAGCACAAGATCCGCCACCTTGCCCACCTCTACACTTCCCACCAAATGACCCATTCCCTGCGCTATCGCGGGGTTGACAGTATACTTACTGATATACCGCTTAACCCTAAAGTTATCCGCATCGGTGCCCTCATCTTCCTTGAGCGTACCGCGCTGCACTTTATTCTTATGCGCCGTGTTCCATGTGCGGAGGATGACTTCGCCGCAGCGGCCCATGGCCTGCGAGTCAGAGGACATCATGGATATAGCGCCGAGGTCGTGCAACACGTCTTCAGCGGCGATGGTCTCGGCGCGGATGCGGGATTCGGCGAAGGCGACGTCTTCGGGGATGTTGCGGGAGAGGTGGTGGCATACCATTAGCATGTCGAGGTGCTCGTCGAGCGTGTTGCGTGTGTAAGGGCGAGTGGGGTTCGTAGACGAAGGGAGCACGTTGTCGAGTTCGACGACGCTGATGATGTCGGGAGCGTGACCGCCGCCCGCGCCTTCGGTGTGGTACGTGTGTATTGTGCGGCCTTTGATGGCGGCGATGGTGGACTCGACGAAGCCGGATTCGTTGAGCGTGTCGGTGTGGATGAGCGTTTGGATGTCGTATTCGTCGCAGACGGTCAGGCAGGCGTCGATGGCGGCGGGGGTGCTGCCCCAGTCTTCGTGGAGCTTGAGCCCGCAGACTCCCGCTTCGGCTTGTTGTTGGAGGGGGCGGAGCTCGGCGTCGTTGCCCTTTCCTGTTATGCCGTAGTTTATGGGGAGTGTGTCGATGGCTTGGAGCATTTGCCGGATGTGCGTCTTGCCTGGAGTGCAGGTTGTTGCGTTTGTACCAGTGCTGGGCCCGGTGCCGCCACCGAGCATGGTCGTGATGCCTGATGCTATAGCCTCATGTGCTTGTTGGGGACAGATGAAGTGGATATGGGAGTCGAAACCACCTGCTGTCACAATCTTGTGTTCAGCAGAGATGACATCGGTGCATGAGCCCACTACCAAATTGGGGTCCACACCGTCCATGACATCTGGGTTGCCTGCCTTGCCAATACCAACGATCATGCCATCTTTGATTCCAACGTCCGCTTTGTAGATGCCAGACCAGTCGATAATCAAAGCGTTCGTAATGACGGTATCCAGCGAGTCTTTGTCTGATACACCTCCAGCTTGTCCCATGCCTTCTCTGAGTGTCTTGCCTCCTCCGAAAGCGCACTCGTCGCCGTATACGGTCATGTCTTTCTCAACCTTGATCCAGAGATCTGTTGCACCCAATCTAACCAGATCACCTGTCGTTGGACCGAACATGCTGATGTAGGAAAGTCGCTCCATGGTACAGATATCGATGTGCGCAGCGTCGCCATGCGGTTCAGGCTCGTGAAGGAAGCCACCAGACTTCAATCTCTCCACGATGCCGCTTGCAACCGACATGTCCTCGATGAAGCCCGAGGCGATCTGGTTTCCACCCTTTATGATCTTGTTGCCACCAATCTGTACCAGGTTGACTGTCTTGGTATCGCCGGGCTCGAAGCGCACCGATGTGCCTGCGGGAATATCGAGGCGGTATCCGTGAGCTCGTACGCGGTCGAATTGGAGTTGCGGGTTCGTCTCGATGAAGTGGTAATGCGATCCGACCTAGATCTTGTGAGTCGCATGCCTGTGGTTGCATGATTATTTCCATACCTGAATTGGCCGATCTCCCATACTCTTCACCTTGAGTTTGATCCTCTTGCGCCCCTCGTTCAGCTTAATTATACCAGCCTCTCCCTTGACAGCCACGATCGCGCCTGGCTGCTTCGTGCTCTCGTAAACACTCGAATCGGGTAGTGGGAACATGTCGTTTGATGGAATTGGCAGGAACGATCCGTATAGCGCCTTCTCAAGGTCGCCATCGTCGGTGGACACTGGGTTGTGGACGGTAACGAGGTATGTGCCGGTTGGGAAGGTGCCTTCAACCATCAGCTCGCCGAGCGAGGCGACAACAGAGGGCTGTACATGACGACGACCAAGCATCGTCGTGCCAATGGACATGAGGTCGGCGACCGAGTGGTTTCCATCGCGGATAAGCTGTATGCATTCAGCATGCGACTGGGTATGCGCGCGAAGTCGGAGGTCGTACTTCCTGGAGGTTGTTCGCGATCAAAGCCTGACAGCATTAGCAGCGTCCACGTGATAGCATGTCAGACTTACGGTAGCTTCAGCATGGTTCAGCTTCACTCCTCTTGCCAGTCGACGTTGCGCAAGGAGTCCGAGCTGCGATATGACGAGCTTGTCAAGCTGTGACGCGATGGTCAGCAGGGGCCGCACGCGTCAAGGGCACCATGTCACACACCTCCTTTGGACACAACTGCATCTTGTATACACAAAAGCAGCCAAGAGAATGAACAATACAACGCGTCTCTAGATTGTATTTGAATCCCCACCATCCTCCAGTCCGACTCTACCGACTCTACCGCTACAGACCTCACCTCTTTGGGCCATGCTGCGGGGTTCGCTTGCGATAAAGACGCGCGCTGATAAGGAGCTTACGTCCGCGGCAACGCGCTCTTAACCTTCATCCAGCGACATCCATGGATGCGATTCTAGGCACATGTACTTTCGCCAGACCATTCAGGTGCCGCGAACCTGCGCGTGCCTGTCGTGGTTCGAGCTAACCTCAGCATGACGTAGGGGTTATTGGTTTCAACACCAGCACCACTGAGACATGCAGATCCACGCCTCATTCGGCCTATGCCACCAACCTTCTTACCTATCTTGCTCCTATCCTACCTGACGCGTCTCAGGCCTTCGTCCCTTCTCCTTTTTCAACACTCCTGCATCGTGTCGCAGCCATGATAAGCCCAGATCCAGACTCACCAGGAATACCGCCGTAGCCGGTAGCGTCGATGACAACGCGGGCACGCACCACATATTGATACTCTGTGACCGTCAACCCGCGCGTCTAGTGAACGCCATCTTCGACATAACTCTACGTTACGATGCACTCATTGATGCGACATCTGAAGGGAGAGAACGATGAGCCCGAACCTGAACAGCAAACATCTGACCCACCTGTTAAGAGAAGTCGAGTAACGATCAAACCTCCACCCAAAGATCCGAATATACCGAGGAAGCGACTCCAAATCAACAAAAAATGCCTCTATGAGCGCCGGCTACCTGGGAACGCGTACATCTCCGCCCATGTTAATCGACTTCAACACGGCTACTACAGGTCGAATGCGCTCCACGAACCCGACATCAACAATCTCTTCTTTGTTTCGGTGCACTTTGTCTTCCATCCCCATGACCCAGAGTCGCACCGTTTCAAAAGCGCCGAAATTGAAGTCACCGTTCATGGCGACGACGGTGACCCCAACACGCCCCGGAAGCCAGGCGCGTCGCATCCACGGATCCTGAAGCATGCACCAGAGCTGATGTTCGGATCTGTGTCGCCAGAGAATCTGCAGTGGAACTTCAGCTTATCAAGCTCCTTAGGCGTATCGCAGGCGCCCGTATCTGCTTCGCTGAACCCGAAAGCAGCTATGAAGAGCAGCTACAAAGTCTTCCACATGATGAGCATCCAAGGATCGGTGCGATCGAAGCGAAGCCCACACGGATCAGAATACGATGTCGAAGACGCCAAGGCCGTCTGGACACTCACGGAAAACATGCTCCAAAAATCAGGCTTGCCACGAGAATTCGACTTCGTCCTACTTGTGCAGAAGCCGGAAGATTGCGAGAATATATACATGTCAGTCGACCTGAACGCGGATGTCGGAGCCTGGTACGGCACATATCCCCAGTGGTACACGAATCTCTCCAAGTATATGCCGAATCAAGACTGTATGCTCAGCTTTGAGCATGACATTGGACAACGGTTCCTTCCGAGTAAGCCGAGACATGGTTTCAACTTCGCTAAACTAATGCATACCTTGGATGAATATGTCATGATGCCAGGAACTGTGTATCCAACACGCGTAAGTTTGCTTACTGAACGGTCTCACGGCCCAAGCTAACCATTTCAGGGTACGCGACAAGGCGAGATCAACAACCCGAATCTGATAGAGTATGAAGCAGCCAATGATGGGAAAGCCATCGAAGCTGCTTCGGCGTCACCCCAACCTAAGAAGCCTGCCACGCCTCCAAGCAAGAGCAAGTCGCCCCAGGGAGATTCAGATCGACAGCATCGCCATAGTTCGGTGCCAGAGAACGTGAACATCCGTGTTGTGCTGGAGCATCAGTATCCGCAAGGGGTTGACCCGCGACGCTTCTCGTACTCTCCTCTCAGCAACTTGGAGCCTGTGCGGTATCCGTCAATACGGCGGAGAAAGTCGCGGACGGGTTTGAAGGAATACGGTGCGAAGCAAGCTTTGCATGAAGTTGCCCAAGATGAATCAGAAGACAAAGGCGATAGATCGCGTGGTGCAGATAGACTTAGTGGAGCTACAGTAATGTGATCGGGAGCGTCTAACGGTGAAAGGCAGATCATGCCTATTACACTACATGCAAAGTTCCCGCGTGAGAGCCTAACCAGGCCAAAACTGCAGCGCTCCAATATAATTCAGGCAGACGACCGCCTTATCATTACTCGTGTGAGAACATGCAGTTCCCAAGACTCGGCTACTCGAGATCGCCACCATTAGCGTGATTTGTGATAGGTTCGTGAAATGACAGCACACCACCATCACTCAATCACGCACCACCCCTTTCGCACCGGGCAAGACTCTACACTTCTTATACGCAATGTCATCTCCACCTCCCTCCACCAGCTGAGGTAAGACTCATCTCTCCCACCGCGCAATGCCGGTCGTGAAGCTCGCAGGCAAACGCACCACGCCACCTGATTGGATCTTTCCAACATCCGCCCAACCTCCGATACGTCGCCCGCTAGGAGTTGAAACGAGATGACGGGTATTAGCCCGCATCGCTCGGGGCAGATCAAGTGGTGTACGATGCCTTCTCGCCATCGCGCGGCCATGTCCTGTGTTTCGTCGCTGCAGGTGTCTGCGAGGTTTGACTGGCCAGCGCAAAGACACGCTAGACAAGGGGCCGCCATGCCGGCAACCACCCACGAAGCTGCATCGCTCTTTCTACGTACGCAACGGTCCTGGTAGGTGTAATGAGGTAGGGCAGCAGAAAGGATGCGTGGGAATTGTGTGGTCTGCTGAGCGTGACGAATGCGATGCCCGGTGCCCCTCGGAGCTAAGGCTGGGGCTGAAGTTGGGCTGGCTTCTAGGGATGTTCTTTCCGTTCTGTTTATTTTTTGGCGGACGTCCCGTCATCGTTCCTTCCTACCGTGTGTAGGTACCCGGTGAGAGAACATCGTGCCTTATTCGTCTTCAGGGCTATCGTCTAGCGCTCTTTCCTCTTCTTCTCAACGGGATAGATTCTCGTGCCGCTCGTCTTTTCTGTATCGACTTCTAATCTTAACATCTCACCGTCTTTCGCTCCTGGTTCTTTGTCCCGCATCTTCGGTATCTCTGACGTTGCTTCGCACCGCCTTTACTACGATTATCAGCACGAAACGACGTGTGCGTTTACGAACACTCGGTTGTGACTGCACTCAGCCATTCCTCCGAAGGAAACCGCTCTTTCGGACATCAGCCCACTCCGGCACGGTTACAACGTCTGTATACGGCGATTTTGAGGTTTACCGGATACTCTGGGATCGCTACGAGTATAGCTCGCTGACTGGAACGAAAGCAACCGGACCGTATCCATACCCTCGAAGCCCATGGCGTGGGTCCCGCAATGCATTCGTTAAACTTCACCTCAAGTCCGATCCGAAGCGAAACAACGAACCAAGAGCCTGGAAAGCTACCCTACACATGAAACCAATGACGAAGTTGTAGTCAGGAATCAGATTGCAAACTCTCATTCACCACTGAGGAGAACGACAAACGGTTCTGCCGGGCAAGTCGAAGATGGCGGCATTTTACCCCCACTCGCAGTCACCGCGACTTTCTGAGCCGGCTTCACTGCGGATGCAAGCTGGCAATCCTATGACGCCCGTCCACTCCCCACACCACTCAGTTACCTCGTCTGCCTCCTCCCGGACTCCCGTCCACGTCCTCACCATCCACGAGTATCGCAAGCAGCAACACACGCCTACGCTATCGCGAACAGGTACACCGTCAGGCAAGACTCTTCGGAGGAAACCTGCGGCACTTGCCTTGAACGATATCGAACGCGCACCATCGGTATCGCATTCGACACGGTCAGACTCAGGTCCACCATTGCGTCCTCTTCACTTTTCGCAGTCGGCATACCAACTCAACTCGATTGCTCCGCCGCCCCAGCAACCAACACTGCTCGAACTATCGCTTCGGTCGCAGTCAGCTGAGCCTCGCGTGCAGACGGGCAGTATATCCAGCATATCCACTGGAAACTCGTCTAGCAAGGTACGTCAGTTCAAGTCAAGAAAAAGGTTGCCGAAACCGCCTGCCACTACAGGTCCTGTATTTGCTCTTCCGCTTGCAAACGTGAAATCTACGCAAGACCGCCAATCACCGCGTCCTGCTGTGTTGAGCTTCTCCACCGATCTTTCACACTCCAGCGGCGCGCAGACCACGCCCACACTCTCGACCTTCTCGCTATCCCGCTTCCCGCAGCCGCCCCACCGGATCGACCCGTCGCTCTCACCACCCCACGATGAAAGAGAGCCGAGGCGAATAGACGCACCTAGCTTCGCGACAACCGCGCCTGCGACGCCGCCCGCGACGCCCGCAATCATCCATTATCGCGGTGCTTCCTTTGACTTGGTTAACCCGCACGATTCGCTACTGCTTCACGACATTGTTACGCCCTCGCGCGACTTCGATTCTAGTGAATATCTTCTTCTACGTTCATCTGACGACGCATTTTCAGAGGTATGTATTACAACCCAACTCCGCTCTCAGCACAGCTGATCGCAACAGATGGCGCCCAAACGAGCCGTTTACGGCGATTTCCGCGCAGCGCATGCAGGTATTCTGCGACGTCCTGAAGATGAGCCAGAGCAGTCGCATATGGAGCTTCCGCTTGAACCGTCACCTGCTGCCCTCAGTCCCAACTCCTCGTCTTATACATCGCCTCCGTACAGCCCCGAATCAGTCAGTGCGCCCTCTCCGCTGACCATCAAGCCGCCTGCTCGCGAGTCGCGTTTCTCCCTCAAAGGATTGACTCGCACCTTGACGAAGAAGCTCACCAAGACTCCGTCGGCGTTACAGGGCGAGGAGTTGCAGGAGATGCGTAGCGAAAACGTGAGCAAGGCATCAATCAGCATGGAAGGAGAATTCCCGCGCCCTCTACACCAGACCTATATCACAACCCCCGAAACATCATACTTCCCGGTCGGACCAATGTCGCCAGCCACGCCCAGCAGCCCCCTGTCACCTGAAGGCTTTCATGCCTTTACACCGGCGTTCCCACAAGCCTTTTCTCCTGGACAGAACGAAGCGGAGGCATCGCGAGGTCAATCCGCTGGACTCTATCAGACGGATTCGCTAGCATCCATGCTGCCGGATGAGCACTCGACGGAGATCGGACGATTAGATGAGTCTCATCTACCTTACTCTACTGAAGGCGGTTTTTCGAAGCCCTACTACGACGATCTTGATTCGATCTACCCCAGTTCGTCCATCTACACCGCAGATGGTCATCGGAAGTCCATGTATCAGCAGGGACTCCAGAGCGACCGGAACAGCAGTGGCAACCCGTTCGCTCGGCTTAGTGGAATAAACGCAAGCGACTTTGCCAATGAGTACAATCCTAACAGCTCGTACGATTATGGCGACTCTAATCGAATGAGTCGGCAATTGTCACGTCCATTCGCGCAGGACATGTACCACCCTTCGGTCGAAGAACGTGATCCCAAGACAGACACCATCAGCAAACTCATCGATGAATATAGCCCGCATGATGCTGCAAATGCGCCCATGGCCACTCATTATGAAGGCAAAGGAAAGGGGGTTCAACAAACTGGTTCAGGTTCAAGGCGGCCTCCGATTACCCAGCACCCAGGTTCACCCCCTCGTGAAGCGGCTCCTCTTGCACCGGCCTTTGAGTACGATGAAGCACCTTTCGTTCCTCCACGTCTACCAATGTCTGGTATGTTCTCCGATGAATCACGCTACTCATACGGAGATACTCGAAATCTGCTCCGCATCTCGGAGTCAGATGTCTCGTTTCAGCCTGCTATGAAAGGCACTCTGGAGCCATCTTCATCGTACTCTCAACCAGAAGCCAGGACTCTCGAGCCTTCGTCTTCTTACTCTCAAGGGGACAACCCGCAGAGTCCGCATACGCCTAGAGAGGCTCTCGAACAGGCCGAGCAGATTTTCCAAGACACGGCCAACAAGCATCAGGATGACCGTAAGATCCCCGCGATGTGGGCTAGACGCAACTCGGCCAGCCTAATGCTAAGTAAATCAGCCACAAACAGGTCATCTGGTGTTCCCGAGGAGTTCGACACACCTCTTGGTGGCGGAGACGCAGCTATTACCGGAGATAAAGCGGATTGGGAGACGGTCGGCGGCAACAGTCGCGATTCGAAAGGCCACGAGTCTCTTCTTAGCAGTATTGCAGACTATAGCAGCAGTGAGGGTACCCGGAACAGTCTTGGCCTAAACTCGGATGGCTCCCTTCCTTCCTGGGCGAAGCTAGCTCAATCACCGGCTCGTTCGACCTACTACAACCACCCTAGTCCTTCACGCACTCAAAACCCTCAACTGTTCGGCTCGTCGCCACCACAGTTGAGAGCTCAAGCAAGTGTCCGTACCGCACCCGATACTTCATCTCCTCCCTTGGCCACTAGCCCTCCAGCGTCGCGGACAGCACCCTTGTTCCAGTTCGCTACTCAACCTGAGGACGTTCGGGGGCGCGGTGCCGTCGATCAGCCATATGCTTACGCTCCCTGGGCGGACCCATACGCCTTCAGTGACAAAGAGACGCAAGAACTGCTAGCTTCTGGCCCTAATGATAACATCATTATCGATGAGCAGCGCGCTTCGTCTGTGGGTCAGTCACAAGGACATTACCGGTGTAGAAGCGATGATAGTACTCTACCGACTTCAAGTACCGCTGATGAGAGCGTTTTCGACAACAGTCCTATTGGTCTCGAGCGCCAAAACACATTTGAGAAGCTCTCCTATGTTGGGCCTAAGGGCAACCTCACTGGTACTCCTCGCGGTACTGGCATGCATGAGACAGGTAGCAGTGTCGCAGATACTAGCAGTCCTGGTGTGAAGCTCAGCTCGAGCGTCGGTCGCCAGAGCGTTCGTTCAGACTACACCGGGTTCTACGCTTCGCCCTTCCCAGCTACAGGCAGCGTGACTCGCATCAGCCAGTCCCGACCAGTCTACAAGCCGAGTCCCGAGCATCGAACACCATCAGAAGCTAGTCTATTCTCACAGACGCCAGAACTGGAAACTGTTCAAGAGACCTCTCCAAACCCTGGTGCTCGCAAGCACCTCCGTAACTCTACCACGTTCCTGCGTCAACAACGCCGCACGAGCCGCTCTGCCGTACCCGGTCAGACGAAACTGCGGCAGATGTTCCTTGCGCCTGAAGCTGCTCGATCGACCATCTCGACTCAAGACACGCACATCACGCGCTTCGTGGCCCACAGTGATCGTCCCTCTACCAGCGACACTACCACGCCTCTTCGTCCCACACACCCTAGCCTAGACATCTACCCCGCGCCGGTCCGGACCAACATTGCCCACCAGCACTCACCTCACCTTCTCTGTGTGGAGCGGGAGCCCAACCCAGAAGATGAGGCACGCCGCCGCAAGCTATCATGGTGCATCCTCATGGCCTTCTGTCTCCTGCCGCCCTGCATCATCCTCTTCCGTTTCATAGGAGACAAGGTCATCGCCGAGCTTACCAAAGGCCATCTGGGCCACGTCACGCCACAGTCTAAGCGAACGGCGCTCATTGCTGGTATCGTCGTTAATGTTGGCCTTGTCACTGCAATCTTGGTTCCGGTCTTGGTCGCGCAGGCTCTGAAAGCTGCTTGATGGGCGTTCTTGGTGTGGTTGAAGAAAAACAGGTACGCAGTGCTGTTGTGATGATGTTGCGTGAGCTAACCTCCATGAAGAGAAGTGCTAGCAGTCTCGAACACACTCAAAAGTGCTATCAACGATATCTCGAACCGCAGACCTTGCAACGCGGTACGACATACGAAAAGTTTGCGAGCGATCTTCATCGCAAGTTCCAAGGAACACATTGGCCAGCAACGTCTTGGTTGCGGCGTCCATTCTCTTCTGAGTGTGAGTTTTTTTCGTTTGTTCTGTACTATCATGCGTTGCGTTGGCGTTGCTTTTGCATGATCTGGGAGTTCTTCAACTTTGAAGATGGCCGTTTGGCTCTTCTGGGCTCCTCATCGAGGGAAGGTCTTTTATCTGGGATGCATGATTGGCGATGGGCGAATATCCGGGCGTGCATGTGGGCTAGGATCGACATCTGGAGCTTGGTCATTATGGGGTCTACTGGTATCTCTTTTTCATGTGTCGCGGCTGGCTTTGTAATGAGGTTGGCTGCTGGACGGTGGGAGGTTTGGACATGGGATGGTGGTTTTGCGGTTTGATGGGTGATGGATGGATGGCGGACATGTTTGGTTCAGGTTCAAGAAGACATATGAATCATTTCATTCAATACCGGACAATTTGCTGTTGGTGTGCTACTCTCCGTGTTCTAACGCATATGAGACTGACCGGCCGATCGCCGTGATCATGCATCTTTACCGTTCTGCTGCGGAGGGAATGTCTTCCGTCTTGCCAATGGAACAAGCCCTATATCTGCTTCAGTATCTACTCTGCCTGGCGGTCCAAAGTCCGTCTGGTGTTCTCTGCCAGTGGACCATTGCTCAATGACACTCAATGGTCGCGACGGCGATGGCGAGGTGGTCTGTACACTAGTGTTGTCCGATGATGCCGAGGTAGCCATGCTCTGGTCACTTCGGTGTGACTCGGGTCGCACTTGAGTAAGCATGCTGAGCTGAGACTCTGGCCGAGCTCGATTACGGCTTATCTTTACTTCATCGCGGATAAAGGAGATTTGATCCATGATGCTTTTGCCCATCAGCAATAACCGAAAAGCGAGATAAAAGAAGAGGAATGACGAAGGCCACCCGCTACCCCAACTAAAGTTCCACATGATCCCAATGTATGCTAAGAAGCATGTCTCGCAGAAGCAGTAGAACAAAGTGTAACGACCCATTTTCCTTGCCGTATAGATGTTGTCGTTATTTTGGGCGGAGAGTCGAACTCGAATAAATTTAAGGTCTTCACGGAACTTCCGCATCCGATGGCTGAGACCTTTCGGCTCAGATACAGAGGTGCGAGATGGACCTTGGGCGTATTCGTCTTGGTCACTACCTTCGGTCGTGTTGCTTCTCTTAGTCGGACTCTCGGCTGTCACACTCGCCTGGGAAGACGAACAGGCTTCACAACTAACAATCTGCTCATCCGGAAGTTTCTGCTCTAAAGGCACAAACTCGCATTAGCGTATATTTTGCATCGTTCATATCGAATAGACTTACCATCGATGGCTTCAACAGCGGCTAGAAGCGTTAGCGCCAGCAGTACTATGGCTACAACCTGCCCGAAACCCAGGATGTGATGGCTATTCGCTGGCTTTAATCCCCCGTACCATACAGCGAGCACAACATTGCCAGTACCATATGTCATGCCCAGTACAATCTCCGGAAGGTTCGACAAGTATGACTCGTAATATCTGTCGAAGAAGAACCATATCGACATCTTCGTTTGTTCTGCAGTTGCAACCGGTGGATCGAGCTTGGCGTAATATTTAACATTGCCATTGTTGGCAATGGCTCTCGCGTCTTCCTTCGAGAGACCTTTGAGTTGGAGACATTCCGAGTAAAAGGAAAGAACCCACACACCTAGCGCGCTTCTTTTCGGTTCGAAATACAAGTTTGCGATCGCTAGTGTATGTTTGATAAGGACAAGTCCGAGGACGGCAGTTGAATCGACCAAATCGAATTGGATCGACTTGCCGAATTGCGACGCTTCGAAGAGACATTGAAGCACGTTTCCAACGTTTAAGGTAGTCTTGTGATTGACTTCGTCAAACTTACTTGATACTGTATTGATGATGAAGGAGAAGGCGAACATCACCAGAAAGCCAATGGTAAATACGACTCGGCAGTCTCGAACGAGCTTGCGTTTGAAGAGATGACTCTGCAGCACTCCTAGAGAGAGCGCGTGGGTGAAGGTCGCAAAGTACGCTAAGAAAGTGACGATTTTGAACTCGTAGAATGTGATGCGACATCGACTGGCAAGCCCTGCGATTAGGATCGCAACGCCGGTGATAAGTTGTTGATCGCTCAAGACTGTGACGAAACCGACGATGATTTGAGTCCGTTCTTTGTGCTTTGACGTAGGCTTGAAATGGAGATCGGCTTCTACAAAAGGACGACGCAGCTTCTTGAGTGCTCGCAGTGCATAGTGATCGGTGCGAGAAAGTATGTCGAGGGGCAAACACTCATTGTAGTAGCCCCAGATGATGACGGCAGAGAGCCCATAGGCGCAGAATAGGAAGGATATCAACACCTTCAAATGACGTTAGCGCGTAGCCCCAGAGGCCATTTATGATCCACTTACTCCAATTCCTGCAATGTCAGGGTCAATATCGATTTCAGTGTCACAGCCATCGATCGGCTTGTTAGCGTAACACTTGTCACAGTTGAGAGAACTTCCACAGCTACCCATGGTCGTTTGATCGTGCGATGGAAATCTGCCAGGCTGAGGCGAAAACAGCAGTCGTAGCAAGAAGCGGGATAAGTAACATATGAATAGCAGTGCACACGTGAGAGGGCTGATGTCAGCCGCCCGTATTCTGCATGTAATCCCGATACATCGATGGGTGTGGAAGAAGAACTGGCAATGGCGCAAGGCTGGGCTTTTGGTGGCGCCCTCAAAAACATTCAGCACATTCGACTTCCGGTGCAGCAAGGCTGAGTGTTGGTTCGAGCGCATCCTGACCCATGGACACGACTAGCAACAGCAGTAATCGCATGTCACATGCTATATGCTATGTAAAGCATGAACCATTCTGAAAGTAGATTTGATAGTGAGAACCAAGCTTGGAAAAGTTGTAAACATCTATCGAGGTGGTGGCGGTCTGCTTCGCGCATCACGGCTCAGCCTTGTCTCTTTTGAGTCGCTATGCATGAGCTGAGAAGCTGGGCGCATGTGCCTACGAAAACCGCTTAGAAGCTCGCTTAGGTGATGGTCAACGGTGGAGATCAGCTGTGCAGGCTGGGCTGAGATGTGTTGGAGGGTAGCAGTGGTGCTGCTGCTGCAGGTCGCTAATGTCAGCGGGCAACCCAATACCATAGTCACATCGTGTACATCATCGAGCGCCAAACATACGTGCGATGCAGAGCAACCAGATTTCTTGGACGACTGGCGATCAAGAACTCCCATCTTGCCTGTTAAACAGTGCATTCAAACCAAGGCTAGCTTCAGTGTCCTGCCTGCGAGGTCGTCCGAATGTCGGGCTCGTTTCTGTCGCAGTGGTGTGTCCATTATCGCGCTGGATGTCGAACATGTCCAGGGAAGGCAGTCGTGGTGGGATGTGCGATATGCTGTCTCCAGACGCGCTATGCGCCATCAGAGACACCTGCAAGGAAGTTCTCTTACTCTTGCGTGATTTGATCTCTTTCCATACGAATCGAGCCTGGTAAATTTGACGTCTCAACACGATGGACAGTTTTGATAGCGCCCATAGTGGAACGATGCCTAGCAGCATGTATACCTGGATGCCACCCATACTCCCTGCGAATATCATTACCACTGTAGACAATGCACAAATGACCAAGGATCGAATCGCGACTTTCCTGTCCGCCCTAGACGGGAGCGGATTCGCAACATGACCAGACCTGCTCAAGGCCTCACCTCGCACGCGGACGGATGGCTCGACCAGCGGCTCGGATGCGGTAAGGTTCGGAGATTGAGTGTTTGCGATATCGATCTGGTGCAAAGAGTCCTGCTTTGATAAGGAAAGGGATTTATCCAACACGTGTTGCTCTTGATTGCATCAGTAGAGTCATCGTGAGAGTAGAGACGAGGCTTACCATTTACGATTTCGATCAGAGCAAGCAATGGAAGAACAAGCAAACCGATTGCAACAACTTGACCAAAGCCAAGCATCCCTGCATCGCTCGATAGATGGTACTTGGCTCTTACAGCCGTATTAATCGTATTGGTCGTCCCAAAAACGAATTGGAAAGCCCACACGGGGATCTCAGACAGATACGCTTCATGATATTGCTCAAGGAAATACCAAAAAGATATCTTTCCCTTGCCATCCGATGGTTCGATTCTAGTATCATAGTCAAGACGGGCATCCGCGATGATGCTTGCCCACTCCATTTTGGAGAGGAGTGTCGACCGGCTCCAGAGGTACAAGGATATGCGATCCATTAAGGTAGTAGTGACATGACGTTGGTAAGCGACTTCCGGAGTAGCTAGTCGAGCTATGGCCGAGAGATGTTTTCCCCATAATATTGTCAATATAGGAATAACCCCCAGTAAGAGCCAGAAGTCATTCATAAGCGCGGGGTCCCATATCCACTGCTCCATCGCGCATTGGACTATTCTGAAGGTGTAGTTATAGGAGAGATGGTCCACGAGAAACGCAAACGTGAATAAAATCAGAAACACAAGCGTGAAAGCTACGCGACAATACCTGACCCATCTGTGGTGGGCTAGGTGATTTCGCAGTACGTCAAGTGACAAGCTGTGCGTCGTAGCTGAAAAATAAGCCGACGTGGTAACGATATGCCATTCAACCTGGGAAAGGACACATCGACTTGAAAGCGCAGCAATCAGTATCGCAAGTCCAGTTATGAGTTGCTGGTCGCTAAGCATCTTAATGAATCTGACAAGAACATGGCTGCGGCTTCGTTGTTTTGGCGTCTGTATGGATGTATTAATTTCCGCGCTATCGTGGCGCCCTTTCCGCCTGAATAGCCCCTTCAGTATTGTGATTGCATGCTGATCAGTAGACTGTAGCAGACACGAAGGCAGAGTCGAGGTCAGATACCCCCGGATCACCACCACGAAGACGGCCAAGGCGCTGAAGTAAAATGATACGGTAATCTGGTCTTGAATTAGCGCAATAAAACAATTGAAAATCCACTACTTACCCCAATACCTGCGATGTCTGCATTGACTATTGGTTGTAATGGGCACACTGCGTCGGACCCCTCGGAGTCCCAGCACGCAGTACAGTCGATGGCACTACCGCAATTGCCCATGTTTGTTGCTGTTGTTTGAATAAGCAATTGGATGGAGTAACTGGCTACTAGGTAGGCTTTGCAGAAGTGTCACAGCTGTCGCTCCGTATGTAGTGGTGATGATTCGCGAGGTCGAGTGATGGCAAAGAAGGATCTTTGAGGTCGCTGAGAACTGTGATAAGCAGGCATTAAACGCAGATGAAATGAGAAAGCGATGAATATGGTATGTTCGTTTCCGCGTCTTGTTGGAGGCAGCCTTGATGAAGATAACGAGATGTCCCGCGTCGGCACGCCTGACAAAGCAGGCGCGATGTCCATCGAACGCCGCCCAGACCGCCACAAAGCGTTGATTGGAGGACTCTGAGCCCCCAAACATACTCAAGGATGACTGCATCGGATGAAGGGCAGTCGTAGGGGGGCCAAAGGACGTTGGTTGCAACCACAAGTAACAGGCAGTCGTCGATTGGGGAAGGTGCTGCGCTACATGTTGTTGACAAATGGACGCTGCAGGAAGGCTGAGACAGGCTACGAGTGTCCGGCGATCTATCGAGGTCAGCAACACGAATCGCAAGGTGCGACGCATCTCAAAATATGCATATCCCCTGTATGTTGTGATTGTAAGGAAGTGTGAGTCTAGAGCGAGGAAACCGCCAGTGTGCCCAAGAGCTGCTTCCTCGTGGCTGAGTCATGCTACAAAGCTCATCCCGATTGCGCTAGTGCTGCGCGAGTCATTAACAGACCCAACCAGCCAGCTCCCCAAAGTCTACTGCGCAACTGGTACAATTCGTATGCCATCATTGTTGTTCATTCGTCTTTCATTCATCCAGCTCTGAAGCTGCTAACGGGGTATATACAACACTCTACTCCTTGCTCAAATCCGCAATCTGCAGCACCGCCTTACCAAAGTTCTTTCCCTCCAGCATACCAATGAATCCCTCAACCGCATTATCAATACCCTCGGTAACACTAATCTTCGCCTTGAAAGTGCCCTCAGACAACCACTTCTGCAGCTTCTCCTGGTGCTCCTTCGCATGCTTAGGACCCATGTTCTCGTCACCAACGATGAAACCACGGATGGTAAGGCGCTTGGCAACAACGTTCATGAGGTTGCGAATGGGGTACTGCTCGCCGGGCTTAGCGTTGTACTGGGAGATCATGCCGCAGGCGACGATGCGGCCGAAGTTGTTCATAGCGTTGATGGCGGCTTCGAGTTGCTCGCCGCCGACGTTTTCGTAGTAGATGTCGATGCCGTTGGGGGCGAGGCGGGCGAGGGCATCGGTGGGCTTCTCCGTCTTGTAGTTGAAGCCGGAGTCGAAGTTGAGCTCCTTGGTGATGAAGTCGAGCTTCTTGTCGTCGCCGACGGAGCCGATGACGGTGAGGCCCTCGTGCTTGGCGAGTTGGCCGACGAGCTGGCCGACGGCGCCTGAGGCGGCGGAGATGAAGATTGTCTCGCCCTTCTTGGGTTGGCCGATCTCGTAGAAGGAGGACCAGGCGGTTAGGCCGGGCATGCCGAGGGGACCGAGGAAGTACTTGGGGTCCAGGTTGTAGGGGTTCTTGAGCTCGATGCAGTTGGCGACGGCGTCCTTGTCGAGGATGGAGTACTCCTCAATGGGGCTGATGCCCATGGTGATGAGAGTTTGACCCTCCTTGAACTTGTCGCTGGCGGACTTGACGACCTTGAAGATGGAGCGGTTGGTGATGGGCTTGCCTAGCTCGAAGGGAGGGGAGTAGGACTTGACGTCGGGTGCACGCATGCGGCCACGCTGGTAGGGATCGAAGGAGGCGTAGAAGTTCTTGACGAGAAGAGCGCCCTCGGGGAGCTTCTGGTCGAGGTCGATGTCGCGGGCCTCAACAGCGAGGTCCTGGCCTGGCTTTGGCCATCCCTCTGGGACCTTCTTGAAGATGACGCCCTTGTTCTGAACCATGATGGTGTGTTTGTTGTGTGTAGAGTTGGGTGTTAGGAAGGAAGAAGCAGGGTATCTTGTGTTGATGTTGTAGAGTGGTTTAATAATTTGATGCTGAAGATTGAGACATGAGCACCTAGCTATATACCAACACCTCTAGCTGACAAACTGTGATTTCACCGCCGAGAGAAAGACCCTGATTGCATCATGGGTGGAGGGAGGGACCCGGAGGCGCCGTCCTAGCACGGCAAGCCCAGTCGTAACGTTGCATATCGGCCAGCGACCGGCAAAGAGGCGCAAAACGAATATTCGTCCGACTCTAGAAGCCACGACTTCGGCCAGGTGTCTCGACGCGGGGCACGAAACTTGTCGCAAATGCAGAATCTTCGAGACAACGTTGAACGACACGAAGCCATGACGAGCGCTCGCGCCGGGAGTCACCTGCTTTGGGAAAGGTGCCCGCTGCGAGATTTAAGGCTGAGCCGAGGCAAGTGGGGCGTGGATTGGTAATGGAGGGGTGTAGCTAGAAGTCGCTATGGATTCAATGCACTCAGCGGTGAGAATGCTAGTAGTGTGCTGACCTGGAAGGCTTAATGAAACGTCCGAGCATATTTCTGATCCGTCTTGTACATGGGCAATAGGAGCAGCATGTCAGAAAATGATCACGAGCAAGCCGATTGCGTCTCAAAGCGTATCGTACGAGAACCTTTACAGTATTCATGCATAGTCTGCCGGGAGGATACGGACGTAAGTCGGTAGGTTTGATTCCTATGTCTCCGTTGGATGCGGTACGGGATGAATTACTTGTGTATTTGTCAACCATCATCTTCCCTCGAAAGCAGTCAACTGCTCCGTAGAGCTATCTAACCTAGCCTAGCTTCAGGAAATCTATCATAACCTTTACTCCGTGTAAACACAAGGAAGTTCCCTTCTTATGCGATGTCATGCTTAGTCCCGTCGTCGAAGGCTCTTACGCCCAGGTGGAGATTTGTATGCTTGCCATACACTATCGCTCGCCTGATGTACTTGGAGGTTCTTGTCCTACTCCTCCTCTTCGTCTTCTCTGCTGTCCACAAAGAAGTCCCCCTCTTCCTCCTCAGGCTCCATGACCTTCTCTATCAGCTTCAGCGTCTGCCGTAACGGCAAACCGACAACGTTGTCGTATGACCCTTCTATGCGCTCGATGAGGCACGCGCCCGCTGTCTGTATGCCGTAGCCGCCTGCTTTGTCGTTACCGTCGCGCGTTTTGACGTATGCGAGGATCAGTTCGTCGGTCACTGCTCGTGTTAGCATTTAATTGAGCCATTTCTGAACAGGAAGAAGTACCAGTAGGATCAAACATAACCGTTGTCTCTTCAACATGTGTCTCCATGGCATATCCCGGATCTACCGCGGACTCTAATGGCTTCATCACCGCAACGGCGGTCATAACCTTGTGCGCGCCCTCATCTCTCAGCATCTTCAGCGTTGCTATATGGTCTGCCTCGCTCTTTGGCTTCTCCAGTATCCGCCCAGCGTGCGATACTACGATTGTGTCGGCAGCGATGACGATGGCAGGTTCGCCGCGCTCGCGATTGTTAATCTCGGATTTGTATACGTCATGCGCTTTGGCGGACGCGGTTTCGAGGACGTAGTTCAGCGCGCCGAGCGAGTGGTCTAGGTTTTCGGCGAATTTCGATGGGACTACGTCGATTTTTGTGAGGCCGATCTGATGGAAGTTAGTATCTGGCATGTCTATGGCCGAGTAGATGTGTTCCTACCTGTGCGAGAAGCTGTCTTCTACGTGGTGACGCGCTCGCAAGCACAACTCTCGATCCTCTCAACTCATTCAGCGCTGGCAGATTTAGTGGCGGAGGCGGTCCTGGAGGGAGCCTCTTCGCTAATGGTGTGCCCGATGCCGACTTGTTTTGTGGGATTGGTGACTTCCGCGCATCTTCATACGAGGGCGGGGGGTCGGACGGTAGTAGGGGCTCTTTGACGTCCATTGTGGCGGATGAAGTATGTTTAGCGATCAGGTGATATGCAGAGACTGCACTTCAATAATAAAAGGTCAAGGAATTGGGTATGCGCTGCGATTGTAGTGATGTTGGGGATGTCTTTCAATGAAGCTATGGATTTCGGGGATGCTTCAGGGTCCAAGCTCCTGCGCCACCCGACTGGATGACGTTCGCCTGGGGAGCCGCAACGCAGATCTCTCCTTCTTCTTTTTTTCAACGATGCAACTACAAACTACACTCAATCACTACAACGAAAGACTGTAACGTATTGGAAACGATGTTCTAGAATTCTGACGATCAGCAGTAAGTCGCATGCACACGGACATCAAGACCGCAACTCAGTTTAGCTACTCCGATCTGCACCCATTTCTACACGGCACAGTTCCCAAATCCTTTCCATCTTTTGCGCACAGTCACCCATTTCTACACGGCACAGTTCCCAAATCTTTTCCATCTCTTGCGCACAGTCATGTACAGCGTAGATGTTGACATCGGCATTCTCACGCTCTTTCCCTCCCATCGATTGCGCAGGGATCCAAAACTGCAATATGCCATGACTAAAGTAAGACACATAAAACCGACGTTTCTCCCCCGTACGCCGGTTCATAAGATACTGCTCTTCCTTCTCCTGATCCCCTGTCGATGTGTATGGGACATGAAATGGCGTCCACAGATACGTATCTTGTCCAGCTAAACGAAACTCGGCTCCTTGTGGGTAGTAGTAGGCTCCCTGTGGGTAGTACTTGCTTTGGTTGTCGCTGTAGCCACATGTATTTATGCGTAATGTTCCAACGCTGTAGTCCGAGTTGATTTGATGTTTACACCATGACTGACGTGTCGAGGTAAGGTAATCAACTGAATACAGTGCCCATTTTCCCTGCAGGGACTCCATGGGAAAGACTTTTCGACGGAAAATCGATTGCCACACAAAGAATGCGAAATCCTTCCAGTTGAAATGGTAGATCCATTGTTTTGCAAGGGCCTTCTCGTAGACATCATCCGGACTTTCGCTTGGTGGTACAGTACCTGCTGGGCCCGCGCTCGCAGCTTCTGGTTTCTCAAGTTTTGTTCGTCCTGGTTTGTGAACTTTGTCACATTAGCTGAGGTACTGACACGAGCTTAGAATGTATACTTACCGGAAAAGAGATCAGCACGCCTGCATAGCTGACATGAACCTTGATCGCTGGGTTTCGGTCCAGTCGAAGACGTCGGCGCAAGATATCGTGTGCGACTTTGGGGTAAAGTGAAGGTGTACGGCGCTTCGTTTTGTGATGCTGATCTGCTCTTATAGTCCGTTACGAGTCCTGTAGTTGCCATGTCTTCTTCTGTTCTATCCAGGATCCCAACGAACACGTAGTAGTACTCATCAGCAGTACCACCCAGTTCTTCCGGTGGTATCGCAATGATCAAATATGGACCCTCACAGAACCACAGTGATATGCCTTTTGTATCCTCGTTCGGAGAAATGACACCATTGTCTTCCGGGCGGCGCTCTCCCTGGCAAACGCGGTCCAATGCCTCGAAATACCCGAATGTAAGGGGACGTTCGATCCCAGGGATTACACATTCAGCCCCAAGATCGCCATCACTTCCCAAATGTTTCTCGAAACAGATACTGCCTGCCGTCCATGTGCTGGCGAACTGGTCGGTCCAAAGAGTTGGAAAGTTCTTATAGTGAGTCTGGAGGTATACGGGAGAATACAACGTATATTCACCACAGATAGGTAAGGTTGGGGCGTTGATTGATCCGCTAGCGGCTTCTTGTGTCGACTCTTCTTCTTCTATCATCGCCGTAGCATGTTCCAAGGCACGCATAGCTTTATCTTCGTATTTCAGATGTAGATGGTATGCACTTTTGACGGCGGGTGGAAGGCCGTAGTCTTCGTCAGGGTCGGACGTGCTAGATGCACTGTTTCCTCCACTCTCGGTCTCGTTTTCACTAGAGGAATCTCCGTCGTCGCTCGAGCTCCACGGGTCTGAATCACCCTCCTCGGGTGCGATAACCATTGTCTGTGCTGATTCGACGTAATGAGTGTTCATAGTTGCAAATGTTCCGGAAGGTCCTGCTTGTTGAGGCACAAGTTTGCAGTGGTTCTCGGTGCCCTTGTGCAATATCGCTGTGTCTAGTTGTTAGTCTCCGCGTCTCAGAGAAAATGAACGCGCACTTACTCAAGGATCAGCTGCAATCCGAAGCAATTGTATGAAGCTGACTTCCTCTTCTTTTTTTCGTTCACTGCCAGCCATTTTATAGATGAAGAGGACGCGACCAGCCTCGACTAGCGCTCACGGTATCTTAGCGTGTCGAAGACGCGTTCACGGCTTGAAACCTAAAGACCACGGGCCGACTCCAGATATCGAAAACCAGCCTTCTCTTTTTAAACGAGTCTCGGAGCTACTCATCACGCATCATCGTTGCTAAAGGAAACAGGTATTTCGTACGTTATTGAACGCGGACGTCCTGTCCGGAGGCCGCAGTAGGTGCGAGATATCAAGATTAGCCTCGGGGTAGGACAGGGTTGTACGGTGCTACGTAATAAGAATGCGGCTTCCATTCCGGCATTCTCGGCCACCATTCTGCCATCTCTTCCTCGTCCCTCTCGAGAACTCCATAAAACTGAATTCTTTCACCAAACCCCGTATCCACGAGATTTAATATCAGGTATGCGCCGCCCAAGAAGGTGATCCGAGCCTCTGCCGTGACATTTGCATCGTGCCAACGAGCTTGACAGGATTGCGTCGACGGACATCCCGGAGCACCGTATATGAAAGTTATACGATGGGCGTCTCCTCTGGTCAGACTGACCTCAGCACCAGGGCGTCTGCCATCTCCCCAACGTTGCCCCACTCGTATAGTACCAGTGCGCCAGCTGCGCAAGAAGTTGCCTTTGAACCACTGTGGCTTCAACTTAATGAAGCTTTGCAAAAAATGCTCGGAATATAGCGTGTATTCGCCACGAATATAGACCGGCGGTGGTGAATCCTCACAAGTAGCATTACCGTTGTTTCCGTGCCCGCTACCCAGCTTCTCTTTGAGATTCTGGAAATATTGTAGAACCTCCATTTGATAGTGGATTTCTCTGTCCAGAGTAGCTCTCACATCATCCCGGTTCAGAGTAGCTTTCACCGCATCCCTGCTCTTGACGAGCTGGACCATCTTCTCCTGATACTTGACGAGGATAGCTTTTTGTTCGCGCTCGAACTCGAGCCGTCTCTCGACCTCAGCATTTCGTTTCTCTTCACGTGTTGTTGTCCATCCCGGATTGTCCCAACACCAGGCCTGTTTCATGTAAGTCCTATGCTCGGCGAGCTTGACCATCTCCTTTTCATAGTGGAGGAGGAGATCTTCTGATTCGCTGTTGAAACAGGTCGAGCTTGTGTTCTGCTGAGCGAGCTGAGCCACTTTCAGATACTCGACGAGTATAGCTCTTCCTTTGCGCTCAAAATCGGTGTTGCCGAACCCAACATAATGCAGCTCTTCGCGTTTGGGTTTCGGCACTCTCTTTGTCCCTGCATAAATATCTGATTGGTCCTTGTATTCATGGATCCTGACGTGAGTGGGCTTTGCAGGAACAGCAGGGTTCGCAGGAACGGCAGACTTTACGTGAACAGCAGGGTCCGCAGCAACAACAGACTTTGCAGGAACGGGAGGCTTTGCGTGAACAGTAGGATTTGCAGGAACAAAAGGTTTTGCAAAAACAGAGAGCTTTGCGGGAACAGGAGGCTTTGCAGAGACAGGAGTTTCTTTCGGAACGACTTGGAAGTAATCCTTAATCTTGCCGTCCCGTGTGAGCTTGCGCGTAGCTGCTGCGAATCGTTAGAAGCGATTCCTTCCTATGCGAACTATGCTGCACATACGCTTGACGTGTGGACTCTTCTTGATTGGAGCCATTGGGTTGTTGTGTAGTGTTTACTGGTGACTGGCAAGGAGGCTGCCCCGGAAACCATTCCGAGAATGATACGCACGATCCATTGCGACGAGATAGGAAGCCTTCACCCCTGATTAGCGTGCAAGGGTCGTTAGCGTGTCGCGTCGCGTCGGGGAGGTCGCGTCCGTACCTAGGTAGAGTGAGACCGAACAGCCACCCTAATCTACACCCAGCCTTCTCTATTCAAGCAAGTTTCTTTTTAATCCCGCACTCATTATTTTATTGCTAGCAAGGAGGAGTGGCTTACAGCATCAATGAGTCTGTTGAGCCAAGCTAATCCTACATAGGTGGCCTGGCGTCTCGTGCGGTCTAATAACCCCCGTCCTTGTGCCGAAAAGAGCTATCCAACCCGGGCTCTGGTAGACTCTCCGAGGTCCAGGATCGATACAGGCCATTCGGTTTCGCTCCTCAAGCTGCGCCCTCAATTCCAAATCATGCTTCGGGCAGTCCTCAATGGGACACTTCTCCCCCATATGCTCGGCAGAACAGAAAAACTCTTCAGGGTCAGAGTCGCCCTCTTTGTAAGACCCTTGGTACTCCCATCGATCATCCTCTTTCGCCCACTCCATTTCGCGGGTATGCCTGTCCTTGGTGCGTGAGACAGCAAAGAAATTGATGAGCTCGTTGCCCTCGCCTCCGACCACATATGCTGGTATACTTAGACCAAGATAACCGTTGCCCAGGAATTGAAGGTATTGCTTGGGAGTGTCCGGCTCATCGCAATAGAAATGCGTTCCCGAAGCGACTGTGGAAGGAACACTAATCTTTGGTATGTTGAAATCCAAACCTGGTGTTTCGGAAGGGTAAGGCATTTTGAACACCAGCTCATACCCAAGACCGCCGACGATATCTCGTATCAAAAGCTTCCCGCGCGTGAGATTCAGCTCTTTCATGTCCTCGCACTTATCCAGCTGGATCTGAAGGTGCACATCGGAGTAGAGAGCCCATTCACCGGTTATGTCTCCCACAGGGTGCTCTCTGCCTTGTGCAATCTCGTCATTGTTCCATTGAGCCAGGGCTGTCCACTTGGCGATGTGGTCTCGGTGCTTTTGGAAGGCAAATTCTCTCTCCCGTTTTCGATGATACTCGAGATGAATTCTCTCCTGCTCAAGAAGTCTGATATGCTCAAGAATATCTTCCTCAAGCAAGTCGTCCTCAAGCAAGTCGTCCTCAAGCATGTCGTCTTCAAGCATGTCGTCTTCAAGTTGCTCGTCAGAAACCATATCGTCATCAGACGGGATGCTTCCGTCCAATATATCCGAGTTATCATCTTCTTCTCTTTGAACATGCTTAATCATGCTGATATCGAACGGGCGTGCGGGGGGAAGTCGTGACCAGGCAGGTACATCCTCTTTGGTCTCGGACTTGTCGGCTTCGGCGTACTGTGCAAGAAACAGCTGGACTTGCTCTTGTGATACCGGTTCCTTGCCAACATCATTGTTTCCCCAGAACTGCTCGTCACAAAGCCTGACTAGTACCTGCTCTAGATGCACGAGTAGCTCCTTAGGAATGCCCTCATCTAGCAGGCAATCGTGCATTGCGTCCATGAAACCTTGGTAATCCGGATTCCAGGCTTTTATACGACCGTAAGACTGTACTGCTTCGGCATAGTGTCTTACAGCGTCTTGGTAGCACATGATGCGCTTCAATGTAGCTTCTGCGCCGCACCCTGCATTGGTCCATCGTTCATCGATTCCTGTAATACATCAGTACCGATCGCGCAAGACACTGAACTATGACGTACGGTCTATGAAGGATTTCAATTCTTCGCTTGGGCTCATAAACACTTCTCCTATCGTGACTGTCGTGGTTAGTTTCGCGCTAGACAACGGTACCTTGGCAGACTTACCATTTGGGTATGCCATGTTGACGTCAGAATGTATGTCGATCTGGGATCGTGGCGTAGCTGTAACAGAAGTGTATTTCGAAATGTGACGTTGCGACGCGTTTTGTGTCGCCAGAAAAGGCTCGAAACGGTGTCCATGGTTACGGAAAGGGGCTGCACTAGCCGTCTTTGACACGCCGCAACCCGAGGTCGTGAAAAAACTATCAATTCATTTCGACGAACAATATACTATACAACTATTTATTAAATCCCGCGGTCGTATGGATCGAAGTGCGTACAATCATCCGGGTGGTCCGAACATTCGCTACGACTGTCTTCTATAACGCCGGTAGGCGGGTTGTACACCAGTCCATCAGGCGTCTTTTCCCACCACTCTCTAACCACACCACGCCGCCTTTGATGAGGACGAAAACCTGGCAAGTCCTCAGCGATAGAGTAGAAGTCGATGAGACCGTTTTCTCTGCTTCCTCTGATCTCGTGAGCTGGAATGCGTATCTTCATATGCCCATTCTCAACAAAGCATATGCGAAACTTCAGTTTATGCGGCGAGTCTTCGGTGGACATGATGGCGTTAAGCCGCTTAGAGTTTACAACGCTTCTCTCCATCGTCCACTTAAGATCGCCTGGGAAGTGATCGTACTGCGGCGGAAGACTCAGGGTGCCCTTAGCAGGCCTACCGTCCACCCGGCCGTATGTTGTGATTTCGAAGTTGCCACAACCGCCGCCGTTGAACAATTCATTATCAGTTCGCCAGCCTTTTTTAGCGACGAGCATGTCGAGATATGAAGTAGACCAGAGCTTCCAATTGAGAACGTTATTATAATCTTCCAAGCTTGTTCTGCGTGCTTCCATGCTTTCGACGGTTTCTTCCTCTCCTGAAGCGATGCGTTCCTCAAGCCATGCTTCGATGGCTTTGCCACGCGCTTCTTGTTTCGCGTGTTTTGCTCGTGCCTTGTCGTAATCGCTGTACCAAATATCGCTGTCGCTGTCGCTTTCGCTGTCTGTGGTGTCTTCGTCGCTGGGCTCAGTTGTCTCAGGGTCGCTGTCCTCGAGACGCTCAATTAGTCCGCTGTCTCTTTCCTTTATTTTACTCGTTTTGATGCCATAGAACTCAATATCTTCCCTTATCGTGTGGAATGGTACCGCCTGAGCTCTCATACTCAAGTAGCCGTCGCGGAGGAAGACGAGAGTGATTCGCATTGACTCTTGGTTCATCTCCTTCTGTTTCTGCGATGCACCTCTGTAACGGACCTGCGATTCGTCACAGAATTTTACTGAGATCTCTTCAAGTGCGGGTATTTCGAGATCTGGCCACGATCCAGTAAATTCAACCTGCTCTTTGAGGCAGGTCCTCGTACCTAACTTGAACCACAAGTTCGCCTTGACTTCAACGTCGTCTCCTTGTCTCGAAATTTTCTCGATGTACAATCGACCGGGCGCATCGTCATGGACCAAACCATCGTGAATGCAGTTTCCATCCCCATCTGTAGTATCCTTGATGAAGCTCTTCGCTGTAAGAATGTAAGTCGCGAGTTTCAACGGAACCAAGGGCCTGTGGCCTTGCTGCAGCTGTTGATTAAGCCGTGCTTCAATTTGCTGAATGCCGCGCTCAGCGCAGTCGTCGTCGTCGTCTCGACCTGGATTTTCGCCACTAGGAAAACTAAGAGCCTTGCGCTGCTTGAGAATCTGCCGAATTACTTTGCGACATTCCTTTTTACGACGCAGGTCTTCGGGTAACTTGCGTAGCTCCACCTGCTCACGCTCCTTTCTTGATATAATGCGCTTGTCCATGATGCAAAGCGCAGACTGATAATCACCTGCCGAATAAAAATGTTTTGTGGTCGAAGTAAAGCTGGAATGAAAAGACCTGCGGATGTTACGGCTGGGTCGGTGCTCACCGTGCACGTCATCACCTGATTGGTCTAACTCGATCAGGCTAGAGCTGCCTCCAGACATGCTGCCCACCTTTGTGTCCTCTTCGATAGCTTGTGCTTTTTCAGATGCAATATAGTTGCTCACATCTCTCACCGCAAGTTCTTACAATAAGTAGAGATTTGGATAAGTTCGCACCCTTTCAATCTGGAGAGAAAAAAGTCCACGCGCGCAGGGCGGATTACCATACAAACTACGATCTATAACAACCAAATGATAACGATCAACCCCCTCAACCAGAATTTGAGTATCGAAACAGTATCCATCGACCCTGTCCATACTCTACGGAGATCAGACCACCAATGCTTTCTCTTCGACCGAGGCTTGAGCATCGAGATAGTGTTCTCCGGTACCGCAGATGCTCTACAGATCTCAATCTACCAATTTCGTCTTGTCGACGTGGAACATCTTGAGTATTGCCTCGTATGCTTCGTCGAAGTCGATCTTGTCAATCTCCTTTTGCATCTTCTCCCTGCCTGAGACAATCTCTCTGGCGATGCTTGGCCAGTCGAGAGTATCATGGCCGATCATCTCTTTCGCGCCGCTGTCTACATGCACTGGCAGTAGCTTCCCATCTTTCTTCCTTACGATACCATCAACAATGACAGTCTCGATATCTGCTGGACTGGAGTGCAGGATAATCGCAGCGACTGGGTCGTGCTGTGCGGCACCGACCATACTGGGACTCAGAGCATCGAAAATGACCAAATCTGCTTTGTACCCTTCTGCGATACGCCCAATCTCGCTGCTCATGTTCGCAGCCTCCGCACCCTTGATCGTTGCAAGATTGAAGGCGGCCTCGACACTGAGGCTATCGGGAATAGCTCGTGGGATCTTGTCTTGCTTCATGATGTGTTCGTTGTAATGGTTTCGCGCATTGCCGAGGCCGAGTTTTGCTTCAGCGATGATAGAGCCGGCAGTAGCGGAATGGCAATCAACACCAAGCGCGGCGTTGTCCTGCAGTCCGATGGAATCGCCGCTGACACCTCCATCCGGGAATGAGGCATCAAAGCAGTAAGATCTCCCCATAGCCATCTGGAGCTCTGAACTTGGGGTTGAACTCACGAATGCACCAGCGGCCTTTAAAAGCTCGGCATCAGCCTTGACAATTGTACCACCGTGCGAAACGATGATTTTCTCATCGAGTAGACCATGCTCCGATGCTGCTTGTATCACACTACCTCCTAGCGATACAGAGCCGTGGGTGGTAATCGTCTTGACGCCTTTCGCGTTCACTCGGGCAAATATGCCTTTGATCATATCCGCAGGTAGAAACCAAAAGTCGAACGCGAAGCCTAGCGTTACCCTTCCGTTTCCGAAAGGCCCATTGTCGGCGAGCTCCTCGAAGGTGTTCATGACCCAGTCTTCGAGAAGGTTTGGATTCCAGGTGAGGGGGTTGAACTGCTTGACGAGCGAGATTGGAGTGTAGCAGAACACCGAGCGCATGCCGGAAGATGCAGTACCTGCGATGGCGGCTTTGGCGTGTTCGGGTGAGCGGGTGATATGTGCGTGCTCAACTACCGTGGTTGTGCCAGCTGCAATGCTTTCCAGTAAACTGGCGAGCTGGCCGTAGAAGACATCTTCGGGCGAGTATTGGAAAGACTGCGAGTTGCCTGCTCTTTGTCAAAAGGAGGTCTTGTGGTTCCACATAAATTCATACCAGTCACCATGTAGTCCAGCAGCTGTTCGTTGGCATGCCTGCCTTTGAGCTGCGTTTGCCAAGCATGATGATGTGTATCGATGAAGCCTGGGCTGATTATCTTGTCAGTGCAGTCGATAGTCTCGGTTCCCTCAGATGGTTTGATATCATGCGCGATTCTTGTGATCTTGCCGTCTTCGACAAGAACATCGGATTTGGTGGGAACGACGTGGTTGTTTGCATCATGAACCAGAGCGACACCGCCCCGGAGAAGAAGGGTTTTGGAAGCCATCGCACGAGTCGCCACACCTGTGTATAGCTGTCGCGCTTCCACCATTGCTGAATCCAGGGTTCATATACCTCTTATTACCTTGTAATGTCACATTACGCCCCGGTCAGGGCTGAGGTCATCGCTGCTTCCTTCGACCCCTCACTCCGCTTTAATCGGCACCCGTGGACGCATCAAGAGCGAGACGCGACTTTCCATGGCGTTAAGGCTTTGCCGAACGACGAGAAACGGAGTTTAGAATATCAGTCAGCTGTGCATCTAGATTTACCTGCGTTTCGCCCTATCGAAAGGGCACACATTTTGTCGCGTGTTGGGAAGCTGAGGTCAGCGTCGCGTGTTGGTTTTCGCGAAGGGTCGATGACGTAATCTCGTGATGGCTTCAGCGCTCCAGCCGGGGCTTCACGCGAGACTGTTTCTCCCGCATCAACTACAGAACACCAACATCATGTCTATCCACCACGGATGCGTCTTGCACAATTTCTGAATTCGCGTGGAGCTACAATTGGCGCAGCATCTCGCACGCGCCATTCATAGCCGAGGGCGCCTCAATTCACAAATGTACTGACATTCGCCAGATCACGCATTATCGATCTTCAAGAGCGCTACCAAGCTCAAGCACGGCATGATTCACTACTTTCACTACCGCAACAACTCCCCTCGAACGAATACCACGATAAGTTCGAGTCCTCCCTCCTTGCGGGCGTCCATTGCCCGACTAGGGGGTGACCGACATGAACCCCCCATAAGGACAACAGTCAGCCCGTCGTAGTCGGCCATCCCACGTTCTTACGAACTCCAGACCCTCGGCGATATACATACGAAGGTGCATAGGGCTGGGAAGGCCAGACGTCCGGGATGAACCGCCACTCGCTTCATCAACCCTCACGAGGATGTGGCCTCATGCTGCGTCGGAATACCCGCAGATCATGCAGACTTCGTACTGTTCCAGACTCTCGGCTCGTGCTTGCTGGAACCCACGTTGCTGGTCCTGGTTGCATGCATTGTAGCGTGGCAAACCAATAGCATCCAAGCATCTAGGACAATTACACATCGTAGCACGCGGGCTGAAGAGGCGACACAGGCTGGTTGTAGTGACATTCCGCTAGGTCGTGAGCGCGTGCGTAGCTGAACAATTGCTTCTTCTTGAAGAGCGTGTCGA